CACCCTTCCACTGCACCCACCTATCACCATCCCACCTCCCCCCCCCCGGCCCCCCCCCCCCTCCCTCCCACCCCCTTGACCTGACACAACCTGTCCATGTGCGAAAATGAAAAAAGCATTCTATTCTCTCATTCTAATTTTCAGCACAATAGTTCGCCCATTCCAAAAAAAGTTTATTTCACTTGCTTTGACAAAAATTGTATATAATTATTCTATTTAATATTTCCATATTTTAACTGCTTTTTGATAGTTAACTACATGTCAATATTTTCTCGGTTACGGTCATTGGGGGTGAGTCATTCTAAGTGCATTAGTAACTATTCAAGGATCAGTATGATGTTCTCTTATAGTCTGTGAAAATATATTTAAACATGTTCATATGTTTAAGGTAAGAGTTCAATTTGTAGGTAAACATTTAGTACAGACATTAATTTTCTATTCTTTTACCTCCAGAGAGTTTCTTACCTTCATGTTGATAAATGCACTAAAATGCTTAGCTGAGGTTTGTCGATATAGTATTATATGATTCATCCTCATTTTGATTTACTGAAAAACGCCGAGTGGTGTTAATTATTTCTTTTGAATTTGCAGGTGTCCAGCCAATGCCCTCTCAAGGAGGTAAATTGGAGATTGCAGGGACAGTCGTAGGCCAGTGGGCAGGAAGCAAGCGTGGACGTGGCAGAACTGCCTTTCCCCTGCAGGTTGTTTCTGTTGGAGGACCAGCTAGGGGGTATGTTGGTTACAAAATATGTAATAGCACACCCTAAATATATCTTAAGTTGTTTGACATTTGAACTTATAATATTAAACATTTCATAGAATCTCAGAAGTAAAAACAAAGAAATTCTGAATGAATTTCCCCGTACAACAATGATGAACATCTCTCTTTCCAGACTGGAGAAGCTCACCTGACTATCCTTGAATTCATCCAAAATTATAGTCACAGGTCATTAATTTGATCCTGAGACCAAAACAGCCCTTGGAATGAGCACTGATTGTATGTCAGCGGCGCACTGTTTTTAAGCCTGTACCACCTAGTTTTCCATGATAGCCCCAAAAAGGGAGCATTCCCCTGTGTGGAGGTGCTGCCAGTTGTTGACTGTTGTCCTTGTATTTTATAATATTGAAGATTTCCAATGTCTACTTTCAGTGAGATGCAGAAAGTTAGATGGGATGCAGATTAACATCACTCCTATCTCAATACAATGCCACTTGATTGTAAAATCTGTTTCATTTGGTTGCAATCCAAACAGACTCTGAGAATGCTGCTTAAAAAGTGTAAAGGGTACAGGATCTTTATCCTAAGAAAATAGCTATGCTCCATACCCAACAGAGATAAATCGGCCAAATCTGACTTAAAGTATTGAAAGGAAATGTAGAAATATTGCATTTAACAATGAATGGTCTGTGGAAGGAAAGTCAGGCATTAGCTGACACCAAAAGATGGCGCAACCCACAATCATCATAGCTTAGGAGAGAGTTAAATTGGTTGAACAGGTGGCAGTCCCACCCTTGAGAACTGCTTGCCAATCTGATTGTCCCAACAGCTCTAGCAATGCCAGCAGCATCAAAGCTCTGTAGTGAACTGCAAGAGGGAGCACAAAGAACATTAGTGGCTGCTTCAGAATGCTGTCCTGTAGTTTCATAGCAGAGAGAGATCTTACAACGCAGGGAGGAGTGAGAGTGGGCCGGGTTTTAGAGGGCAGAGGGTGTGAGAGAAAGGGAGTTCTGAGGTGATATCTTTTATGGGGGCTGCACCTGATGCAAACAGAACAACAGTCCCTCTTCAGCATGTACACTGATACTGTTCCCTAACTCTTGCTCCGTTACGTTGATGACTGCATCGGTGCTGCATCCTGAACCCAGGCTGAACTGGACCAGTTCATCACGTTCACTAACAACTTCCACCCTGCCCTCAAATTCACTTGATTTATCTCAAACACCTCCCTCCCCTTTCTTGACCTCTCCATTTCCATTTCTGGCGATAGTTTATGGACTGACATTTACTATAAACACACAGACTCCCATAGCTACCTAGACTACACCTCCTCCCACCTTGTATCCTGCAAAAATCCCATCCCATTTTCCCAATTCCTCCGTCTCAGTCGCATCTGCTCTGGCGAGAAGACGTTCCACTCCCAAGCATCCAGATGTTCTCCTTTTTCAAACAACATTCTTTTCCCCCCGTGTCATTCGGCTAGCCCACCGCTGCACCTCTTCCATTCCCCACACCACAGGTCTAAACTAAACCCCTCCCCCAAATATAATAAAGATAGGGTCCCCCTTATTCTCACTTTCCACCCCACCAGCCTCCGCATCCAACGTATCATCCTCAAACACTTCTGCCTACTTCAATTAGACCCCACCTCCCAGAATATCTTCCACTCGCCACCCCTCTGCCTTCCACAAGGACCATTCCCGTTGCCACTCCTTAGTTCGCGCCACAGTCCCCACCAACCACTCCACTCCATCATTCCCCACCCCGTACCTTCCCCTGTAACTGTAAAAGATGCAACACCTGCCCACACAACACCTTCCTCACCTCCATCCAGAGCCCTAAACAGTCCCTCCAAGTGAGACATGGCTTCACCTGCATCTCCTCCAACTTAGTCTGCTGCATCCGGTGCTCCAGATGTGGTCTTCTCTACATCGATGAGACCAAACGTAGACTAATTGACCGTCAAGCATCTTCGCCTGGCCAGTAACGACCAGCTTAATCTCCTGGTCACTGCCCATTTCAACTCCCTGCCTCCACTCCCGCTCCTTGTCCATCCTCAGCCGCCTTCAGTGTCGCAGCAAGTCACAACACAAATTTGAGGAACAACACCTTATCTTCTGCCTGGGCACCCTACAGCCCGGAGGACTCAGCGTTGAGTTCCCTAATTTCAAATCACCTTCCCACCCATCCCCTGGCCCCCTTTCCAGCCCTCCCACCTCCTTTCCATTCCACCTGTTGACCCTCCCTTCTAGCCACCAACCGGATGCATCCCTCCCATCAACCAACCAGGTTGCACTGGTGTCCACCTATTCCCACCCTTCCCCTTCCACCCCCTCCTTTATCTGCAGCTCCCCATACCCCCACGTCCAATCCTGAAGAAGAATAATACCCGAAATGTTGACTTCTCCTTTCCTCCAGATGCTGCCTGGCTTGCTGTATTCTTCTAGCCCCCTGTTTGTCTAACTCCCAAAGGTTGTCTGCCCAATCACATCCACCTGCCCATGCTAGCCATATTGTGGCCACCAGCAATATAGATATTATAAATGAACCTGTTCAGATGTGTTATGACACACCTCTGTAGCAGATAGGACTTTAACTCAGTCTCCTGGCTCTAACATTGGTAATATTCTTATGTGCCACAAGACCCCTTACATCTGTATTCTGCTAAAGAGGCTTGCTAACAAGCCTAATAGACCCTTTAATTATTTAACTAAATATAGCATGGAAAGTCAGTTCAGGGGTGAGTAGGAAGGTTGGATTTTGCCTG